TGATTTAGCTCCAAACTGAAAAGCAAAAATCATTTATTGCAGGGCTTGATTCAGGGAAAGGAAACCTATTTGTCCCTGGTGCCACATTACATGATTACCTTGATGCCTCAGACAAAAACAGGTTGCACCTCCTGTTCAGTATATAATTATCTATTACTTGTGGTTTTGATATTGCTGATTCACAACATCATTACAAAATATTATTCTGGGTCTGGTATGATAATTGTATAACACTTCATAAAATTTCCTGACATCAAAACAAGGTAATTCTAGCCCTCACTGTCAGTGTAATCATTGCTTCAAGCCAGTTTGGGTCATCAGTCTGTTTCCCAGATGAAGTCTGTTTTTAACAGAAAAATATGAACATGCACAGTGTGCAAGTAGGTATAAATATGAGATTACATTTTGCAGTTTTAGGTTGCACCAGTGCAAATTCTAAATGCTAAATGCACTGGGTCACTTGACCAGTAATTTGTTTTATATAAAATGGACACACGTCAAACAATGTGAAGAACTAGTAGGTAGAATTAAAACTGTTGAAAGCTCTGCGTTTTGAGGCAACAGACATATTTCAATTTTGCTGATGCTTGGAGAACAAAAGATGTGCTGTTTAGCAGTTTTAATGTCTAAAATAAAGACCGATTTTGAGTGAAATAAATTCACGCAGACTATGACTATTTTTGTATCCCGTCATTCCAATTTTTAATAAATCCATTTACATCACATTCTTACACTACATCTGGTTTCATCTGTTTCTTCAATCACCAGAATTGTCCTTCTTGTGGCGATAGACACATAACAATAGTATGTTATTGTTATGACAAACTGACATTTTATAATATCTCCCCGTGTCAAAACATTATCGAAAATCATCGACAGCGACATCCCTTACGACTTCGACTTTGTGAAAATAAAGATCTACGCACCGGCGGCAATATTGAGGGGACAAATTATACAACGCAAGCAAAAAATGCCAACTACTGTTGAAAACAGCTAAAAGTAACGAAATTGAAGGTAAATAGAAACTTAATTCTGTTATATATTTTGGATTTTACGGGAATTTGAATCAATTTAGAAAATGTATCAATGGCCGTTTTCCAACTAGTGCCTATTTTACCTCCACGAGTGCCTTGCCGTACGTGCTTTCGGTTTCATCAAGGGTGGGTACAATTACAAATATTGGGATAATGTTTTCTGATCTGTATTGATTAGGTATTGAGCCGTTTTCTTTGAATGTTTTTGAGTTCAGTTTCTGCTTATGAACGCGTATTTTCAAACATCCTTCGAGCCTTGTCACCTAAACAAACCCCGAGTTTGGACACGCCCTTACGCGTTACCTACGGCTGTCAACAATGTCAGTGTCGGAAGGTTCATCCAACAAAATCATTATAAACTTGATAAATATGATAATTTTCTTGCAAAGACGATAACATTTACCTAATCAGACCATGTAATTAACTTCAGCGAAATAGTTGGATCTATCAAAAGGATGGCACATTTTTTTCTGTGGAGTTGTTTGTTTACCGCCGTTGCCATGATCGTTCCTGTTCGCCTAATCGGTGATGTAATATTGAGATTGTTTTTGTTTATAAATAATTAAACCGAAAGTTACTTATTTTTAGAAAATGGGAAATTTCAGTGTTTTATCTTCACCAAAGAACAAAAAAATTGATCAAATCATAAAAAAAATATTTCATTATGAAGAAAATATTAGACTGGGTACCACTCGACGTGATGTGCCTGAAGTCAACAATGGCCGTTAGTTGCGGCTGTGTGCCGAGAATTTTGGCGAACATACTTTTAATTCGCGGGAGTTTCGTTTTAAGGTACACAAACTAATTGAAGATTATATACTTAGAAAGCTGAGAATTAATGCATTCCATACATAAGTCAAATGACACGTAAATCCCACTTGTTGAATAATTATTGCAAGTTTTATTTGGGGATGTCATTATGCTGCTCTCCTGTCGAATTGGTTCAACAGTAGCATTGAGAGGATTAAAATGTAACGTGTTTTTGGACAACCGGACCCTGGCAATTAACAACAAAAATGTGAGATGGACACGATTTGAAGCTTTATCTCACTGAGTGTAAAGACAGGGACAAGACCCTGTGCTACAAACAGTTGTATTTCGTACGGCACCTACAAGTATTGAAAAGTACGTGGCTTGTTTACGACAGAATGGTGTAACTTGATATGCCGTCTCTTACCTCTAGCTGTAGGGTTGGAAGCATGCTAAGGCTATACCAAAAAAGGATGGAGATTCCTGCATATTCAGAGTAAGAATGCTTGATGACTGATTCTGTCTTCACTGAAGGCCAGGTTTTTCGAGACTGTGTGTTAAACACAACACTGTAAGACTTTGGACCAAATCCAAAAGACTATATATGATGACAGTATGAACCTACGTTGATGTAATGTGGTATCCGTCTCCCCTATCCACAAAACACCAGCGTTGTATCAGAGGATCAACAACCCTGTACAATACACTGCGTCACCAGAGTCCGGTGGGCCACCTAGGTCCCATCTCTGAAATTAAAATGTTATAAATATTTACTTGATGAGCCAGGTCGTGTGTGATGTCGTCCAGCACAGACTGTTAGGCCCACGGGCTTGATGATGCCGTTAGTGTATGCTTGCACAAGTCACAAGGGTAAAAATTAATAGTTTAAATGATAATTTAAAAAAACACCGGGGTCCTTGTACTGTCCACTTATCTAGACTTGCCTCTTCGGAGGATAGAATTACTATACATCCATGGTCGCAGCATTCAGTACCAACTTGGAGCAATGATACCGTCAGTGTAGACCAGACAGATAGCGCGGTATGTGATGCAGTCCCTTTGTCGGTCTAACAGTCCCTGAACCACATAATTGTCTCTACTGCCTTGCCCTCCCCGCAATGCTAAAGCCCTGAATAAAGCCAGTATAGATTTCCCCAATCTCCCAACTAACTGGGTTTCTTTTCAATATAAATTCGTATATTTGTTACTATCAGTATTATATATATAATATATTCAGGGACTAAGCGTTAGTCTACAGACCCAGTTCTCCATACTGTAAGTCTCTAGACAGGTGTATGCTTAAGCGCTAACATTGTGATCCCGGCCATTAGATCACTGTCTATAACAAAGCAAACTGCCCGTGAGTCGCTAGAAAAAAAACATCCCACCGGGTACCCATGCTTTACTGGTTAAGCAGAGAATTTTCAAATAAAGTCACAATGGTGAGACCACATAAAGTGGTTCGTTATGCTGCTTTGTACTCGACTCCTAGAAAACTCTCACGAGTCAGAGCGCCAAGAATGGTCACCCACCCAAGGACTCTCCGAGACCAATACGGCTCATGTTCAATTAACACTCAGGCTTCGTCCACTTCCCACACACCCCACACAGTACAGAGTGGTTCTCACACACCCCATACAGTACACAGTCTCACACCACCCACACAGTACAAAGTAAGTCTCACATACCCCACACAGTACAGTCTCACACCACGCACACAGTACACAGTGGGTCTCACGTACCCCATACACTACACAGTCTCACACCACGCACACAGTTCACAGTGGGTCTCACGTACCCCATACACTACACAGTCTCACAACACCCACACAGTACACAGTGGGTGTCACGTACCCCATACACTACACAGTCTCACACCACACACACAGTACACAGTGGGTCTCACACCACCCACAAAGTACAAAGTAAGTCTCACGTACCCCACACAGTACAGTCTCAAACCACCTACACAGTACACAGTGGTTCTCACGTACCCCATACAGTACACAGTCTCACACCACCTACACAGTACAGTCTCACATATCCCACACAGTACACAGTCTCACACCACCCACACAATACACAGTGTCACACAACCCACAAAGTTACACAGTGTCACACAAACCACACAGTACACAGTGGGTCTCACGTGCCCCATACAGTACACAGTCTCACACAACCCACACAGTACACAGTGCGTCTCACACAACCCACACAGTACACAGCGAGTCTCACACAACCCACATAACACACAGTGTCACACCACCCACACAGTACACAGTGTCACACAACCCACACAGTACACAGTGGGTCTCACACAACCCACACAGTACACAGTGGGTCTCACACAACAAACACAGTACAGTGGGTCTCACACAACCAACACAGTACTCGGTGTCACACCACCCACACAGTACACAGTGGGTCTCACACAAACCACAAAGTACACAGTAAGTTTCACAGAACCAACACAGTACACGGTGTCACACATCCCACACAGTACACAGTAGGTCTCACACAACCCACACACTACACAGAGGGTCTCACACAACCCACACAGTACAAAGTGGGTCTCACACAACCAACACAGTACACAGTGGGTCTCACACAACCAACACAGTACACAGTAGGTCTCACACAACCCACACACTACACAGAGGGTCTCACACAACTCTAATAGTTCACAGTCTCACACAGTCCAAAGAGGATGTTTCTAATCTTACATTTTCCACACACTACACAATAGGTCTCATACAACTTGTGCGTGTTATGGGGAACGACAACATTGGGTTTATTTACCCGTTTTCTGAAGAATTGAGGCTCGCCTCGCCTTCCATGACCGGGGGACTCAAGTCTGGAGTCGTCCTGCCGAGCGCTGTACACAGGTTAACGTCGTACAGCACGATCGTATTTAGGGTGGGTCCATAATGGCATGGGTGGTTTCACAATGACTGGTCGAACTGCGTCTCAAGTTGTCCAAGACAGGGCCACAGGTTAATACTATCTCGAAACATAATTGCAACAGTCACGGTGCCATTTGCTAATTTTTCTAATACAATTGGTCTTACGTGTATGGTGGCAATACACAGATCAATGGTGGGATGATATCGCCATGGTATCGCCATGTCAGTTATTGATGCCACGTGTACGCACACCACTGGTGGAGAATGTGTTTCCCCGAGCTGGCATTTTGCTGGAGTCGGGCTATATTAAAGCCGTGTACCCGACGGCGAGGCAGTCGTCTTCCTAGCTGCGCGATGGAGGTATCAACAATTATATTCTTCAGTCTGCTGTTGTGTGGTGTGAAAGCCATCTATGCTGATGCGAGTTTGGCAGCCTTGGCTGCACGGGTGCGTCTGGTTGAACGAGAGATCAATTTGGGGAAGCTGGATGCTGTTAAAACTGACACTAAACTGATTGACAAGTTTGAAGTGTTGGAGTCATCACTGAAAGAAGAACTGACTGAAAGATTCCTCCCTCTCTTGATAAAGCCTCTCGTCAAACAAGCTATAACCGACATCATGAACGAAGACTACATTGGCAACATTATTACCGGACATGTTCTCAGGGAAGTTCAAAGCCTTAAAGCAAATGTGCAAAACACAAAGACACAGCTCAAAACCTTGGCAGAACAGCTGAGACGTGTTGAACGGGATAGAGACACTTACAGAAAGAGTCTTCGAAAACAACGTCGCAGTTTGACCAAAGACATCCGTGAATTACAGATTCAGCTCAATCATACTGTAGCTGACCTGCGTGATGCCAGGACCACGGCGTATCCCTTAACGACAGCAGGTGAGACTTTCGTCAGATATTAATACAGCTTAATTAACACTCTATCTTGATATTCCAACCGGAAGATATGAGAATAATAATTTCGTTTAAATTAAGCAAATGTTTTACAGTCATACTGCATGCACATTCAGTATCTGCCTTCTGCTTTTGAAACAATATGTTGCACGTGCATGTTCAGCGTTTTTATTGTGGAAAACGTTCAGGTCCAAATAATCATTTTTGTTTCAAAGGCTGTTTGTAAACTAGTTAACAAGATAACTTATTGTTTATTGTCAACATCATTTAGCGTTCGGAGGACATATTAACGTATTGCTTAGTGGCCATGGTAACATGGGGTTAACGGTCATGTCAGCGTATTGTTTATTGGCCATGTTAACTTTGGGTTCAAGGGACATGTCAGCGTATTGTTTATTGGCCATGTTAACATAGGGTTAACGGTCATGTCAGCGTATTGTTTATTGGCCATGTTAACTTTGGGTTCAAGGGACATGTCAACGTATTGTTTATTGGCCATGTTAACATAGACTTCACGGTACATGTCAGCGTATTGTTTATTGGCCACGTTTACATAGACTTCACGGTACATGTCAGCGTATTGTTTATTGGCCATGTTCACATAGGGTTCACGGGACATGTCAACGTATTGTTTATTGGCCATGTTCACATAGACTTCACAGTACATGTCAACGTATTGTTTATTGGCCATGTTAACATAGACTTCACGGTACATGTCAGCGTATTGTTTATTGGCCACGTTTACATAGACTTCACGGTACATGTCAGCGTATTGTTTATTGGCCATGTTCACATAGGGTTCACGGGACATGTCAACGTATTGTTTATTGGCCATGTTCACATAGACTTCACAGTACATGTCAACGTATTGTTTATTGGCCATGTTCACATAGACTTCAAGGTACATGTCAACGTATTGTTTATTGGCCATGTTCACATAGACTTCAAGGTACATGGCACCGTATTGTTGATTGGCCATGTTAACATGGCTGTCACAGTACATGTCAACGTATTGTTTATTGGCCATGTTAACATAGACTTCACGGTACATGTCAACGTATTGTTTATTGGCCATGTTCACATAGACTTAACGGTACATGTCAACGTATTGTTTATTGGCCATGTTCACATAGACTTCACAGTACATGTCAACGTATTGTTTATTGGCCATGTTCACATAGACTTCAAGGTACATGTCAACGTATTGTTTATTGGCCATGTTTACATAGACTTAACGGTACATGTCAACGTATTGTTTATTGGCCAAGTTAACTTTGGGTTCAAGGGACATGGCAACGTATTGTTTATTAGCCATGTTAACATAGACTTCACGGTACATCGCAACGTATTGTTTATTGGCCATGTTCACATAGACTTCACAGTACATGTCAACGTATTGTTTATTGGCCATGTTCACATAGGGTTCACGGGACATGTCAGCGTATTGTTTATTGGCCATGTTAACATAGACTTCAAGGTACATGTCAATGTATTGTTTATTGGTAATGTTCACATAGAGTTCACGGGACATGTCAACGTATTGTTTATTGGCCATGTTCACATAGGGTTCACGGGACATGTCAGCGTATTGTTTATTGGCCATGTTAACATAGTCTTCAAGGTACATGTCAATGTATTGTTTATTGGTAATGTTCACATAGGGTTCACGGGACATGGCAACGTATTGTTTATTGGCCATGTTAACATGGCTGTCACAGTACATGTCACTGTATTGTTTAGTGGTCATGTAAACATAGGGTTCACTGTACATGTCAACGTATTGTTTATTGGCCATGTTGACATAGGGTTCACGGGACATGGCAACGTAATGTTTACTGGTCGTGTTAACACGGGGTTCACAGGACGTTTGTCGCTTCTTGTGCCCCTTATCCACATTTTTGTTAGCACATTGTAACGTAGAGAACTAAATCAGTCAAACAAGACAGTTAAGATCAGTGAATAACTGAGACAGCACACTGAAACACACTGGATATGAGTTACGATCATAAACATGTGCCTTCGTCTTTGTCGGTTTAGCCTTACAGTGCTCCAGTAAGATCCAGGACCCCGCCCCTCTTATGCAGCTCGAACTGCCCCAACACTGACCCACCACCACCCAGGACTCGAACTCGGTTCATCAGGCTGGCTCATCATTACAATGAAATAGCCACACTTCCCGCTGTCCCCCCCTCGACCTATGTACAAATCCAGTAATGAGGGTGTATATGTGGGGCAAGCGTTACATATCTCATCTTATTATATACCCATGAACAAATCCAGTAATGAGGTTATATATGTGGGGCAAGCGCTGCATATCTCATCTTATTATATACCCATGTAGAACCCCAGACTCAATAATCATTGCGGGAAATTTACAGGGAACTGACTAAAACCATGGTACATTGTATTCTGAATAGGCGGACGTCTTATGGATACTGTATATTAACATAAATATCTCGGTATGTATTTCACACGTGGACTGAGTTGAGGAATACATGCAGTCTACACTTAAAATAAACTCAGAAGACCACACATTGTCTTTCAAGGATATTTTTAGTGTCAGTGTAAGTACGACAATGGTCTTGTTTGACAGAATGATCGCAGCTATTTACATCTAAGCCTCTGGAGCCTTATGATATCCACATATGCATTGAAAGGGACATTTATTTATATTTTTTGTAAACAAATATAAGTTCAGATACAAACAGTCAGTGAATTAGGGAAGTACCCAATATGCTTATACAATTCGTGTCCATGTCATGGCACAGTTAACGCGAAGTGTGTTGTAATATGTTACTTCCATCTGATAAAACCGGAGGCCAAACTTCGGTTGGATAGAAATATTTCCATACTGAGTTGTTGATCAGGGTGCCATTCCACTAACCGATCTTAGCCCTACGCCAATCGTAAACCCTAAAATCCAAATCTTAGTGTGACGTTATGATCAGCTTACCGTTCCACTAACCAATCTTACCCAAGTCAATCGTAAAGTTAAGATCCAAAGTCTAAGTTGCTCAGGACCAACTTAGGATCGCTAATATCAATCATAGAGAAACCAAAGTGGTGGCTTTCATAGTCTATATGAAGGAGAAGAAGAGCGAGCATTTCACCGTGAGCGTCCCCTAATTCTTTACTAACCATGAAATGAATTTGTTAATTCTGTGATGTAAACAAACACTGCACTGAAGCCTTACAAATGTCAGGCCAGTCTGACCACTGTCGTCATGGGAACACAGCCGAGGGTGTCGGTGTAATACATTTGTACAACAATATTACAACGTCATGGTTAAGAATAGGGACGGGTCGTGAAGTGAACAATGTTCTGAAACAAAAAGAAACAAATATGTTTTATTTCACGTGCGCTTATTTGGTAAGGGATTCTAAATTTTAAGGCAGACCGCGTGTTTTTCAAGACCATTGACTAGTCTACATTCTAGATACGTTATCAGACGGTGTGCTTGTGGCGAGGTAGAGGCTAGTCTGTCGTACAGACTCTGAAGCAAATATATCCAAGAAAGCCAACGCAAGTCTAGAAAATGTGGCAAGTCTAGATTTCCTCAGCTTCAGGTCTGAAAATGAAGAAAGTCTCAGGGCTCCTTTTCATTGGATCTATATTTCATTTATGTTTTACTATGAACATTTTTCAGTAAAATATGTTCATTTCAGAGACTAGTTGTTAGTCTAGGTGGAGGCGTTCAGCCGCACCTGCCCCTGAAACCAAGGTGCTCACTACCCTAATATTTTCCTCGAGGTTTTTTCTCCACGTTTACACTTGGTTCCAAAACTACTTCCTCGCATTTCTCTATCTCTCGCACGAAAGAGTCTCGATCTAAGCTTGTATCGGATCGTAAGATCGGTTAGTGGAAAGGGTGTATGTAACTTTTAGCTAAGTGGATTGTAAAATTGGTGTAACTTGCTAAGATTGATCTCAGATAAGATCGGTTAGTGGAACGGCACCCAGTACAAGCAGTCAAGCGCCAAACGTTGCCATGCTCCTAACCTGAAACGTCACAATGACGTCATAGCTGGCAGCTTTGCGGCCGTGGTGTCGCCAGTCAAGGCATTTTATAACTAGCAGTGAGATGTGTGGCTCGTGTTAGGACGTACGTTATTGGTGGGTAAGTTCTCAGTTTCTACTTTTAAACTGATTTAGGAAATTAGACGAAATAGTGTAAATCTATATTGTAAAACTGCTGTAAAGCAGTATGAAGGTTACAGGAGTTTTAAAGTTTCATCCTTTGAACTGATAACATTTACAACAGTCACGGAAGATTTTATGAGATTATATTAAATCTCTCCAGTCGAGTAACGGATGTGTTTCATGTGCATATTCGGACACTTGACGTCATTTCCATAGACTTACATGATATTTCAGTGTAGCATAAATAATTTTCATGAGGTGAGTTTAGAATAGATTTTTTTCAAATTTGACAGAAAAATTTGAAATCATCTCTGCTCTGCGCTCATAATTTCAGTTCAATTCTCCTGACCACTATGTTACTAATGACATCACATATATCAACTTACTTATAGTTCCACAATGCACAATCCCATAGGCCGCCATGTTAAAGGAAATCACGGCACTGTACACGTGTTGATTAAATTGTTGTCATTCGATAAATAAGCAATGGAAAATTAAACAGATATTATGTGATTGTAGGTACGATGATTCCTCACAAATGTGCAAAATTTGACTTGGATCATACGAAAATTAAATTCATGAAAACTCGTTATGCTACATTAAATTAACATGTTTACAAGTCTATGGAAGTTACGTCAAGTGTCCGAATATAACTGGCCCGGGTCTATATCTTGTGTTCTGCGTCAATGAATAACTGCATTGCATTGAAATACAGTAATATTGGACATAAGTATTCGTCATTGTGCATAATTTCTACAGACTTAATTGTTAATTTGGTGCAGCTAGAAACATCATCTTGAATTTATTTGTCGTTTGATCTTGTTCATATTTAACACGTGTCATGAATCATCTCAGCTGCAGAGACATAATTTCCGTTCTATTTTCCATTCAGTATTTCAAGAATGACTGCACTTTGATTGATGCGTGTCACATGGTTAAGACAAGTTTTAACATGGCAGTCTATGGGGAAAGAATACACAGGGGTGTATATATATGTTGCTCATGTAACTACAAGGCGGAAAATACTTGAAGGAACATTACATGGAAATTATGTATCTGTGACCAAGATGATTTCCTAACAACCTGCAAAATTTGACAACCAAATAACGAAAACCGAATTCATGAAAATTATTACAGCTACACTAAATAACATGCAAGTCTATGAGAATTTTGCCGACTGACGAATACTTATGTCCCATGAGTATACATCCCCCCTTTATAGCACACGACCGACAGTATCAGCTGAATGTTTACATTGAAGGCCTGTAGCTTAGCTCTTTTAACACTGAAACCTTTATGTGGAACACATGTATTTCTGCAACACTTTTAAAAAATGCAGTAGAATGTAGATCACGGAAAGGCAACTATGCTTTTTTCTCGTTATTTCTAATAATATTGAAACAGACGGAGAATGTTAATCACTCTTACAGCCGACATTTCAATCTTTACCACCTCACACCGCCACATGTTTGTACACTTGTTGTATATCAAAGCACGCTGCTTCCAACAAGAAGAACGGTTGTGTCAGCTATAGTTTCTGCCCCAGTTAACAGTTGTTTGAGAATTGCACTGCCGGCATGGCTCGATATGCTGACATTTTGTGAATGCTTCACAGAGTTCGCCTGACACTGAATTACAACTTTGTTGCACAAACACCGAGGAAAGTTGCCATGCTGCCCTACACATTGCGTGATAAACAGTAAACACTGTTAAGTTTTAATCTGCTTCCCATTAGAATTTACGGAATTGCCTAAAATACCATGTACACTAAACAGGGAGGGTGGCGTGGGCACATAATGGAAAGGCATTTTGAATTCCAGTCACGATTAATGAAGTCAGACTAAACAGGTGGTGATTCCATAAAGAGGACTTATGAGTAGGTATAAGTGCAGATGTTTTTGTTTGTTTATCTACTTTTACTTTCAGTGTAATAAGGTAAATAATGATGTATGTTTATATATGAAGTCCCCGTAGAGTATACTCGCCCCTAACCTAGCCCCAACCCTTGGGGCGAACAGATTCTTTTTAGTTTCGGTGTTAATGTTTATATTTCAAAACGAAAAAAAACAATCTATTCAGTGAGATCTACAGCATTTCAACAAAGAGGAGCATTACAGCTGTTACACACAGTCAGTGCACAGCTTATTACCTTTTCAGATTCAAACTGTAAAAATAAATTTAGGAAGTGTTTCTTTTTTTCCTGCAGAGACACGCGGTCTTTTATGAACAGGTATCTCAATCAAATCATACCACATATTAATATTTAATACCTCTGCTATAACAGATGTCTTTGAATTTATTCATACATACTATTGAAAGGCAAAACATTTGTGGGAAGCGAAAACTGAGACCAGTAGTTATAATGCTTATGTGCTATGTATAGTTTTCTGACTAAAATATTCCCTGTTTCAGCCTCCACTGACCCGAGCCCGAGCAACACGGCTTCACTAGCGCCAGTGACGACACAAGACTCTGATCTACAGGGTAGGTTAGAAAACCCAGCAGGCAGGAAGCGCAGTCCTTATATACACGCTGATGTATATACCTGTGGAGATTCTATCTTGAGGGATGAGTCTCACCTATGGTATCGATCGACGTTCATGTTGTCAATCACAGGATTTCAAACTGTAAAGACTAAATTAAGGAAGGGTTACTTTTTTCCTGCATAGACACGCGGTCTCGATGAAAAGTTATCTAAATCAAATTGAACCATATATATTTAATACTTCTTCTATAAAAGATGTATTTAGAATTTAATCATACATAATAGTGAAAGGCAAAACATACGTGGAAAGGCGAAAACTGAAGCTAGTAGTTATATAGTTTTGTGAACAACATATTCCCTGTTTCAGCCTCGACTGACCCGAGCCCGAACACCACGGTTCCACCAACGCCAGTGACGACACAAGACTCTGATCCACACGGTAGGTGGGAAAACCCAGCAGGCAGCCTTATATCTTAGCGCCCTAATAAATACCAAACAACATTTGTACTGACATTATCAACTTGTAAAGTTCAACAAACATCAACACTCTCCAGCCAAACACAAGATATTGCTACAACTTCTGGCTCTAACAGAAAGTTCTGTATTAAACACACCATCTTTTATCCCAGAAACCACATGTTGACATTCCCGCCATGTTGTATTGTTGTCAGCCATGATGGAATTGTTTAAACGATGCAGCAATGTCCGAGTCACGTATCACATGATGAAAACATTGTAGATGTGTGACACAGATGTCTGATGTTTACTTTGTGTTGCAGCGACTCCATCACCAGCAGCAGGCCACCGCCTCTACTCCGCCAGCGGGGCCGGTGACCTGGAGACAGTGAAGCGGATCCTGGCAGCGGGTCACGTGGAGATCAACACGAGAGGAGGACTGTGGAGCAGGACACCGGTTATGGCGGCAGCACGGTATGGACACAGCGATGTGGTGGAGTTCCTGGTGGGGAGAGGGGCTGATGTGTCGCTGGTGGACGGGTACGGTTACAACGTCCTTCACGTGGCCTGTCTGGGTGGAGACCTGGAGACGGTGAAGCTGATCGTGTCCAGGAACCTGGTGGACGTCAACAGTAGAGGAGACTACAGCAAGACACCGGTGATGGCGGCAGCACTGAGTGGACACAGCGATGTGGTGGAGTTCCTGGTGGGTAGAGGGGCTGATGTGTCGCTGGTGGACAGTAACGGTAACAACGTCCTTCACGTGGCCTGTCTGGGTGGAGACCTGGAGACGGTGAAGCTGATCGTGTCCAGGAACCTGGTGGACGTCAACGCCAGGAACAAGGACGGGCGGACAGCGGTCTACTGGGCGAGAGTCAAGGGACATCAGCGAGTGGTGGAGTTCATGGTGTCACGTGCTGGACACTGAAGTCGGTGTCGGTGTGGACGGTGACGGGGCACATGTCCTTACTGACACTGACGAGGTGTGTGCCGTCCACGTTGTCGTGTGTCACGATTCACGTGATTTCCTTTGACTTTGTGAATATAAATAAAACTTGTTGAAAGTATTTTCAGACATTTTGTCATTTGTTGTGTTTGGAGCCTCGCAGGATCAGGTAAGAAAATTGTGAAGTGAGTGCAAATATAAACGGTGAGTGATTGTACGTAAACGTCGCCCGTCTTAACATTTCTGTGTTAATTTTGTTCTGAGAATATATCGAATTGTGAAACCGACAACAACAAACTGTTTGTTTACATGTCGCTGCACTCTGTGACCTCAGACTGGGTTCACCCAGTGACATGGCGCCATTTGTACAGTGACAGTGACGTCACACTGCTGGTGACGTCACAGATATACACTGAGGTGCCCGGCCGTCTTCTCAAACAGATAGGACAGAGAGCGGCGCAATGCTGGCATCGTGCCAGACAACACAAGCAGTGTTAGTCAAGTACCATGTGGTCGGTGACGTTTAACAAAGGAAGAATGAACATATCTAGCTGATTACTGCTGAGATTTAACCCTTTTGGTGCCACAGGGAAATGTACCCCTTCTACAGTGACTAAACACACGGTATACAAAATTAAACTGAAAACAATCATCACCCAAATCATCTCAGCTATATAAATCCCTGGATGCCAGAAAGACAAATATCTGCCCCAGTTCTCTGTTTCTTGATCTAACACACTGTTTTTAGGTAAACAACAATTGCTGAAATGACCAGTAAGAATTATGTACATCGTAAATCTGGCCATTTTTTGACACATGACGATTTCGCCATTCGCGGCATCGTTTACTGTATGCTGTAAATGTAAATATCGGGTATTTACCCGTTGAAGTGAATTTGAAAAATAACCAATTAGGGATCAGTGGGATGGTTTTTTTGTCAAGTCGCCAATAGAACCTCGCCTATAACCTTGGGATAACCTTTAAATCGTCTTGGGGGCAGGCAAACACAAACGCCGAAGTGAGTTTTCCGTTATATTTGATAGTGAGAGGGTGAGTAAGTGACTTAGCTTAGTTTTACGCCGGTTTTAGCAATATTCCAGCAATATCACGACGGGGAACACCAGAAATGGGCTTCACACATTGTAGCCATGTGGGGAATCAAACCCGGGTCTTCGGCGTGACGAGCGAACGCTTCAATCACTGGGCTACCCCACCGCCCCTATTTGACAGTGTTTACAAAATCCCGTTTCACGTAAGGTCTTCATGAAACGCCAATTACCTCGCACATGTTTAACACTCAGCTGCAGCACACACATCCCTGAGTTCTTCACATATTTAAAAAAAACCAATGACTGATGGTCTTAGTTACCTGTTCAAATAGTGTTGATATTAAACCCCTGAATACCGTTCAAATAGTGTTGATGATATTAACTCCTTGGATGCCGTTCAAATAGTGTTGATATTAACCCCCTGGCTGCCGTTCAAATAGTGTTGATGATATTAACCCCCTGGATGCCATTCAAATAGTGTTGATGATATCACCCCCCTGGATGCCATTCAAATAGTGTTGATGATATTAACCCCCCGGATGCCGTTCAAATAGTGTTGATGATATTAACCCTATGGATGCCGTTCAAATAGTGTTGATGATATTAACCCCCTGGATGCCGTTCAAATAATGTTGATGATATTAACCCCCTGGATGCCGTTCAAATAGTGTTGATGATATTAAAATTTACTATTCATTCGAGCTGTTTGTCAACACTGGTGTGTTTGTGCTATATTTGTTGCCACTGAATAAAATACAGAACGTAAGTGAAAGGAATACCCAGTCTAGACTATCCCCAGAAAAAAACTACAGTTAGTGTCATGGGTGAAAATAGCTGTGATATTTTGATGGATGGATCGCTGAAAATCAGTGACACCAGTGGCCGTATGCATATGTCGGGTGTAAATTCTAGTCCGGGCGTAAGTAAACTGTGCGCCCGGACGTAACGTTAAACCGGTATGTACATATTAGACGTAGTTAAAGTTACGCCAGTCGTAGCGATCCATATTTACGCCACCTACCCAGCAGGCGTAAGCCAGGCGTAGCCTTGTAATGGCGGCACTGGATGCCGAGTTTTTTTTATCAGACGCACATTTTCAAAAGTTGTGCCACCAGGTGTTCACGGTTGTCTTACAATCAGCGTTAGATAATATTATTATGCTACTATTGTCAATATGAATGACATGATACGGTTAGGTGTACTTGTCGAGTTCAAAGTCAAAAGTAATGTGTATATGTTATACATATGCATTTAATTAGAGCTATTTCACTGCCAGCACACGAACATATACAGATCAGGAGTTACCGGGAACAGCACAGAAATTTAAACAGCGACAGCGACAACAACAACAACGACGACGATAACACACACAATAAGAACAGGCGTTGTAATGGGTGTGACAACATCACGCGCATCAAACTCTAACATTATCTGAAGCTTCGACTCTCAAGTTCCCAATAACTTGTCAAACTTTAGACTAGCTGTCACACCCCAGGGACTCGTCTCCCGTCTTGGTGGCAGTGACAAAGTTCTGTGGCATCACACCATATATTGTTCAGTGAAGCGTCCATTGCCTAATAACACTATTACCTGCCTTGCAATTAGTGTGCGAAATAGTTTCCAAATGTTGCTAGCCAGTCGGGCTAGCTTTGCCTGAAAGCTACTAGCCCACAGAATAATTCACTAGCCCGAAATTTGAAGGTAGAAACTAAGCAAGGTAAAATATCATCATTTATCCGGCCATAACCTTGCATGAATTTAAAGTGTGTTATACCTTAACTAATCGGAGAGAGTGCATATTTAAAAAATGAATCCATGAAAATTCACTAGACAGTCGGGCCTGTGACTGTGGAAATATAATGGCCCGAAAGGACTTTCACTAGCCACGGGCTAGCGGGCCAGTGGCTATTTCGCACACTGCTGGCAATCAGCTTCAGCTATTTACCACAACGCAAATGGAGATATAAATCCCTGGAACAGAGAGGAGGCGCTGTCGAATATTTTCTCTGGATCTGACTTAAATTCATACCTGACCACATGGGTGTCATCACTACACACCATCATGACAACATGCCATCATCACTTCATACCATCATCACTACACAGCATCATTACTACATACCATCCTCACTACACATCACCATTACTACATACCATCATCACAACATACCATCATCACTACATACCATCCCCACTACACACCATCATCAATTTACACCATCATCACTACATACCATCTTCACTACACACCATAATTACTTCATACCATCATCACTACATACCATCCTCACTATACACCAGCATCACTACACACCATCATCACTACACACCATTATCACTTAACACCATCATCACACCACACCATCATCACTAGACACCATCATCACTACACACCATCATCACCACACACCATCATCACTACAGACCATCATCACAACATACCATCATCACAACATACCATCATCACTACATACCATCCTCACTACACACCATCATCAATGTACACCATCATCACTACATACCATCATTACTACACACAATAATTACTTCATACCATCATCACTACACAGCATCATCACTACATACCATCATCACTACATACCACCATCACTACACACCATCAACACTTCATACCATCATTACTACACAGCATCATTGCTGCATACCATCATTACTACATACCATCGTCACTACACAGCATCATCACTGCACATCATCATTACTACATACCATACATACCATCATCACTTCATACCCTCATTACTACATACCATCATCACTACACACCATCATCAATTTACACCATCATCACTACATACCATCTTCACTACACACCATAATTACTTCATACCATCATCACTACATGCCATCATCACTACAAGCCTCATCACTTCATACCATAATCACTACACAACATAGTGGATGGTGTCAAGACACAGTCGATAGTGGATGGTGGATGGTGTCAAGACACAGACGATAGTGGATGGTGTCAAGACACAGACGATAGTGGATGGTATCAAGACAGACGATGGTGGAGTCTATGCTTACAGTCTTATTATAAGAAAATCCAATAATCCGATATTTATTTTTTTCTGAAACGCACAGAAGTTTGATTATTTAATGTCAAGGTGAGGATCGAAGGGTGTGCGCACTTGTGCGGTGTTATTCATGGGGGTGGGGTTGTGTTCTGTGTGTGTGTGTGTGTGGGGTAAAATACAGTATCATTAATTAACAAGGCAGATTGAAATTGTTCGTGTGAATAAGAAGGGGTACAATTGCAGTCTTATCAACTTATATAGAGAATTTCACCCAAGTGTCTTCTGATATCAATTATATCAACACGAGTTGATAAAGTTACAAATATCCGAGGCTTGCCGAGGATATTTTTACTTTATCAACGAGTGTTGATATATTTGATATCAGAAGACACGAGGGTGAGATTCTATTTATCATCTAAAATCACTCTTCATTAATTTTCAATGAAAAATGTACATCTCTGAACATGGTACTGCCATTAGACTTGCAGTGCAACGATGTCATAGCATTGTGACGTCATCAAGTACATGACGTCATAGCATTGTCAGGGCATTGTACAAAATCTACTGTCAAAACGATATCTCCTAGGATACACACAAGCGATATCTCCTGTGGAACACAGTTTTGGATGATAAATGAAAATATGCAACTTATATACTGGATATATATTTTATATACATATCTATTTGGAGAGCAAGTGTTGTTCAACAACCTGTGTTTACGGATGCAATACACCGACCAGGTAGTACATAGTAGCGGAAACATAAAACTGAAGTTGAGCTATCACAACCCCAACCCCTACCTTACCCCTATCACAACCCCAACCCTATCACAACCCCAACCCCTACCTTACCCCTATCACAACCCCAACCCTACCTTACCCCTATCACAACCTCAACCCTATCACAACCCCAACCCCTACCTTTACCCCTATCACAACCCCAACCCCTACCTTACCCCTATCACAACCCCAACCCCTACCTTACCTCTATCACAACCCCAACCCTACCTTACCCCTATCACAACCCCAACCCTA